TCATTCCTACCTTGATGTCGAATGAAGTAGCGATCAATCTGATCTTAGTTGAAGTTGCGGTTCACTGGGGTGCAATGGTATGTACCTTGACCTAAGGGCTCTCTGTCACGGTTAACTTCTGTTGGCTGTCACTTAACCTTTCCAAAACCTCTTCACACTTGAATCACGAACTATCATAACATTCCCCAAATTACCACTCCGCTTACTCTAAACTTCTGTTATTTAAAAGCTTCCTTTCTTTCTCGCTTCACTTCTTAGTTTGGTTGGAAAAGAGTTGCCATTAATTCTGGCCCCAAAGAACCCAAAAGGACATGTTAATGAAAAGACGCGTGAGCCCGTCACATGTGTGTGTGTGTGAAAAGAAATCCAATTCAGAATGTTTTATTCATTTTCTAAATAGATGACACCAAAATGCTGCATTATAAGCGCTTGTTTATTATTTAATCTAATCCCAAGCCGAAATTAGCGCTGTAAAATTTGGTAGTTAACAGTTGAAAGTTTGGTTTTTAATGAAAAACGTTGTTTACACTCATTTCTGAGCATCTAAAGGAAAAGTGACATCATTTTCGGTCACTATTTTAAACTGTCCCGTCGTTCACTTCCTTGTCTCGCAATGCTTTGTTTAAATAGATGTAATATGTTTAGTCTCTTAAATTAGTCTAAATTCTTTCGTAATATTTTTAAATGCAGTAGGATGAAACAATCTTAAAAGGCAACAATAGAAAATATTTTAATTTAGTTTCATTTAAAAATGAAACGCCTATTCTAATCTTATCACAATGCACGTAACTGATCTGTAAGAATTCTTGTAAGTACATTGCAAAAAAGAAAAGAACAAAAAAAAAAGAATTACACAAAGCCGTATTCGTCTAGCGTTTCGAAATAGGTTTCTTCTGGATAAACTAGATGTAAGCTTATGCAAATATGTTCCTAATAATCAAGCGAAGTTTATCCTTTTCCTGAGGGCATTCAACCTTTTATCTCCGGAATGTCTTATTTAGTTTGAATTTGATTAAAATTCCATCCATAGAAAAGAAATATTGTTACATATATTTGTTTATGAGATAAAAATATAAATATTTACAGTCAAAGTCCCAAACATTTGAATTCTATGATATTTTTTGGAATTTAAAAACATAATTTCTTATAAGTTTCGGTATTTGTTGTATTAGAAGATGATAAAAACTTAGTTTTAAGTATTTTAAAAAAAAAACTTTGAGGTTATTTTACAAATTATATATATATATATAAACATAAATTTATATGCCATTTCACATTTTTAAGGGCTTGTCATTTGTTTTCATGAGGGACTTTAAAAAGTACTCTTAAGAAAATTTAAATACATTTATACTTCCTCATTATATTAAACATGTTTCCAGTTTTTTTTATAAAAAATGTTAATTATTTTACTTTGCTAATTTGCTTATTGTTCCACTAAAAATTTGAACATTTAAAAAAATTTCACTTTAGTATTTTATCATTTCATGGTAAAAAACTAAACAGTTATTAAATTAAATGTATTTATTTTTCTACATAGTCATCATTAAATATTACATTTGTAAGGATATAATCCTTAGCACTGTGTGATATTTTTTTATATTACTTGCAATAAAATAAATCGAGTGAATAAAATTTTAAATGAATAATTCATGAGAAAAAAACCGAGCTAACAACTTGCAAAGTTTAGAAATCTTTAGATAATAACTAGGAAATTCTATTCTATAATGTTTGGAACATGATTTTTTTATTTTCATCATGATAGAAAATAAACAATAACACAAAAAAGTAATATAATTTATGATGTTATTAAAAACAATAAGTTATAGTAAAAAGACCACAATTTATGGAGAAAATTAAGCTAGAAAAGAACTTAACAATATATCAAAATACTTAATAAAAAAATAACAAAATTAGAAATATGAATTGAGGACTAAAAAAATACGAAAAATATCTTTTAAACGTATCACAGCAAAAGAACTTTTAAAAATTTATTGCATAGAAAATATTAGTACTGAAGGAATAGGTGTGATGGAATAAAAACTATCATCAAAGTCAGGATATCTATAACATATGATTACCTATCAAAATACCCATAAACTCTTTTATAAAGCCTTAATAAAGTTAAAACTTATTATCTTTTCTTTTAAAACACCTGTTGTGATAAAATTGTTTTTGTTACCTCGATTTCTCATACTGGCTGCGTCTAAAAAACGCTGTCTACTTGTGTCTAAACTGCATTTCAAATACGACAGTGTTTGTTTTTTACAAAATCATTTAAAAATACATGTTGTATTTTTTAAATTAAAAGAAAAACAATTTTTCCGACACAATTTCCACTTAAAAGTCTAATAATTTTGTCATTGCTTCTAAAACTTTTTTCTAGAGTAATTAATCAGTTATTTTTATGTGATATTTACCTTCCATTTTAAAAACAAAATTGAGGGAATACGAAAATTCTGATTAAAACACGAAAATACTAGCTGTCTAGAACTTAATATGTTAATCAATTAAATCCAAGAGTTCGTAAAAATTGGTTGAATAAAGGAGTAATGGATTAAAGACAAAAAATGAAAACAGTTATTCCTTTATTTGTTTTTTTCAGTGGTGTAAAAATTGTTAATTCACTTCGTATTTTTTGCACTTCTGTCGGGGAACGTACAATCAATACCTCCCTCCAAAATTAAACATTAAAAATAAGTTTTGACGTGGAATATATTCGTGCAGGAATCTTTTTATAACATGTTTCAAGATTTGATGCAATTAAAAAAAAGCCTAACTGTGTTATTTTTTACGTAACTAATTACTATACATACTTATTTCTGTCTTGTAAGTTTCCAATATCGTGTAACTTTTAGAATATGTTTCCGTTACCCAATTATATTTGCAGTGAGTGAGTGAATATTAACGTCGTACTGCTCAGCTACACGAGAGCTTTTGGCGACGGACCACGTAATTTTCAACCTTGGTCAAGTGAGGTGGACGACATCTGAGCTGGCACCTCCATCTTCTAACTACCACACCACACTAACGGGAGAACGTTTGAGTTCCCGACAGATTTAACGTGCATCGCACCCCTACGCGACGGGTCTTAGGTGGTACTGGGCTCGAACTCGTGACAAGGCCAGTCACGATCCGATCCGATACCTTGACCACTCGGCTACCGCGGCCCCAATTACATTTGCAGATATATTTGTGCGTATGTGGAGTAATATATGGTACTACATATGGTACTATTACTTGCAAAATACCTGTTACATTGTAACATATTCCACAGCCGCATTTTAAAATAGTAACGTACTTCAAGAAGCTGTTATAGTAAATATATAATCCATAATAACCAGTACTTTTTCAGATTTTATTATATGACACTTCTTCCTTTTTAATATGCCCCATTCTCTTCTGTTATTTTTCAATAGATTAATTTTCGCATTACTTTTGAAATTTTTTCAAATCAAGAGACAACCAAAACTTTACTTGAAAAAAAAGGAAATTGTGACTCCTCTATTTTTTAAACGATCTTCAAAACATTTTAAAGCACATTTTCTGAAGAAATACACTCTTACTATTAATGATGAAGTGCATTCTAAAGAAGTTAAAATGTAATACTGAATTAGCGAAAGAGCTAAATAAATCAATTCCATTCAAGCCTCTACGTCAAAGTATTGTAAACTATTTTTTCAAATAAAATTTTAGAAAAAATAATACTGTAGGTAAATGATATAAAGAATGCAAAAAATTGCCCGTTTTTTATTTTAAAGTGTGATTTCTTAATGATTAACTGAGAAATAAATTTTAAAGAAATAATTTAATGTAAGAATTTATTAAAGAAATACAACAATCCCTTGTAAATAAGATAAATTTTAGCTATTCATATTACCCAGTGACGTCCTAGGCCCTCTTGAGGCCCTGGGCCCCTATGCCCTATCTGCAACTCCTTTAAGTAGACAGTAGATAGCATATATATTATCAAATATTCGTACAAACGGTACCCCGTAAAAAGTACATGTGCGGGACTCACAATCTCACAAACCTAAACCCAAATCGACTCGACCGATTGCTGCCTTTCGACTAAATGATTAATAATAGTATATGGTGGTAGGCCTAAGCCTTAACATGGAAGACGGTCATGATACAATAACACAGTCTGGCCACTGTTGCCAGTTGGTATATAGTTCGAAATTCCCAGTTTTTCAGAGAATTTGTTCAGGAATAACATATGAGGATTAAAATTATTCGGATTATGATCTTATTGAGGGGTCAAGTTGAGAACGAAAGGAGCCCCTTCCCCGAAATCTTGGGCAAGAGCCTAGTTAGCTCATGTCTTAAAACGTCCATAATATTTCTATAATTAACGAACTATTGCAAATTCTTTTATGAGCTCATCACACACCACCATAAATTAAATGTAAACACACTTTTTATAATTTTAAAATTTTAGCTAATTCTTCTCAAACTTCCAACTAATTCTGATATATATATATTGTTCAAATTTTCAATCGTTAATAAAATATACTTTTTATTCATCCACTCAAGTTCAAATACATTTTTTAAACTTGTAGTGGATAACACTTGATGTTTACATACAGTTTTTTCAAATATTAATTCATTAATTAAATTTTAAAAAATGAATAAATAGAAACAAAAATAATAGTCCAGCACAGTAGCGCACACAAAATTTTTTCAAGGAGGGGGTCCAAGGTCGAGAGTGCACCATTTTGGTATCATGCTCCAATACGCCACCTACCATATTCTTTTGATTTGGTCGATTTTCAGGAACAAAAACAATACAAAATTAATTATTGAATAAATAATTAGCATTTATTAATAAAATTAATTGTTAATAACAAATACATAATTAGATTTTAAGTAATATATGCATAGGATTATAACCAATCGAAAAAAAATCAAGTGCTAGGATAATAGGACCCCTAGGACCCCCCTCCCCCCTTGTGTGCGCCACTGGTCCAGCACCATATATGAAAAATAAACTCGCTCGTTTTGTCCCCGTAGTGAAATCAATAGTACGATGGACTTCTCATCCATAGGTCGTGGGCTTGAATCCCACCTGGGATGGTTTTATATCTAAGAATGTGATTTCTTTTTGCTATACTATTTTATTGGAAGAATTAAATTTAATTAATGAATAAATAGTAACAAACAAAAATGATAGTCCAACACCATATATAGAAAGGAAAATGGTAAATTTCAAGAAAAATCGCATTCTATTTTGCCACTTAATATTGTAATTCTGACACATGTATATACATATTTATATTAATTGCAATTATTCAATAAAAAGTAACTAAAATAAAAAAAAATTCTTTGTTGATCTAAGTAGGAATTGACTTAAAATTTTTTTTTATATTACTCTTGTTTTTCTTTTTCTTCTTAATTTAACTGTTACTAGGCTTTAGTACGTATTTTTTATTGATTTAAATTCACTAACAGCTTAATTTCTTGGTAAGCATACCTTCCTTAAATCAATGAAAATATAAACATTTAATAACTGTGACAATAATATGGTTGATAGGGTAATTTGTATATAACTTAAGGAACATGCGTTCGAACCGCGTCCTTTAAAAGACGCCGTGTAGCAGGGTTGAAGGAAGTTATATCTATCGGAGATCGAAATTTTAATTTTCGAGGAATATTTTGCGAGTAAAGTATCAGGAAGGTCTCATATCTCTAACTCTTGACTACTGGCTCAAAATTAAGAAGGTATCTGGAGTACAAATAGAATTTTTTTACATTAAAAAATAAAGTTCTTCGTTACGTTAATTTGAAAGTTATTTTCTTTATCGAATAAATAATTTCTGATGTTGAAAATTGTTTTTATAACCTTACGTGCATAGTCTTAAACTTGTTTGAAATGGAATTTGTCTGTCTACTTAGCTTATAATTTTCTTAAATCCAAATAATTCCAAGTGAAGGGGGCGTTATTTGAAGGGGGGAAACCATAAGAGTATAAAACCAAATTTAAATTGGCATTTCAATTTCAAAATAAAGGTCGAATTTTATTATCTTTTCCGGAACCAATTATTCTGAAATTCACTTTGAGATGAAAGCTGCAATCTGTAGCTGTATGTATATATATAATAAAAATATTCGCGCGCGCGCATGTTATCCTTTCTTTCCCTCTGAAAGATTTGTTGACATGGATAACTCGCGACATTCTAGTACAAGAGAAACGTTCTCTTAACAGTATTGTATGAAAAAGTCTCTCTCTATTCTTTATTTCCAATTCCATAATATAAAATAGTTGAAAAAGTCAGATGACACGTGATAGGGCAAAATCAAAGCTCTTTCGTACTGGTCGATTTATTATGTCATGTCTTCTGGTCTCGGAATATCTTCTCTAAGCTCCTATGCGATCCTGGCTGCTGCAGACTAAACATATCGCTTCTTCTAAGGGAGGTTTCGCTGCTCGCCCGAAATAAACGAACAAACCAATATTATTCGAATAAAAAAATAGAACCAAATTAGAGCTTACCGTAAAATCCGGCGTATAACGCGCGCCTATTCTTTCAAGCTGCATTTTTTAGTTTTTAAGTATATTCGCCGTATACCACCCCCTCTTTTTTCAGTTCTTACTATCAGTTCACACTCTTCCTATATATATATACAGTAGCACACACGGGAATTTTTCCGGGGTCAAAAGTTCACCATTCTTATATCATGCTCCTTTTGATTTTGTCGATTTTCGGGAACAAAACACAGTAAAAAACTAATTATTGAATAAATAATTAGCATTAATAAATCAAATTAATCATTAATAAAAAATAATTAAATTTTGCATACTATATACTTAAAATTATAATCAGTCGGAAAAAATATCAAGGTCTGTGGGGGGTCCGGACCCCCAGGACCCCCTCCCCCTTTGTGCGCCACTGTATATATATATATATATTATATAATAAAATAAAAGTGAAAAACTTGTTCAAATTTTTAATTGTTAATAAAATACTTTTATTCATCCACTCAAGTTCAAATGTATTTTTTTAAACTTGTACTGGATGACACTTGGTGTTTACATAGAGTTATTTCAAATATTAAATCGTTAATTTCTTAATTAATGAATAAATAGTAACAAACAAAAATAATAGTCCAACACAGTAGCGCACACAGGAATTTTTCAAGGGGGGGTGTCTGGGGTCTAAAGTTCACCATTCCTGTATCATGCCCCTTTTGATTTTGTCGATTTTCGGGAACGAAACACAGTAAAAAACTAATTGTTGAATAAATAATTAGCATTAATTAATACAATTGATCATTAATAACAAATAATTAAATTTTACGTACTATATACTTAGAATTATAATCAATCGGAAAAAAATCAAGGGCTTTGGGGGGATCCGGACCCCTAGGACCCCCTCCCCCTTGTGTGCGCCACTGGTCCAACACCATATATAAAAAGAAAAATAGCTCGTTCTGTCACTGTAGCGCATTGGATAGCTCATTGGACTTCTAATCCAAAGGACGTGGGTTCGAATTCCACCTGGTGAATTCCATCTGTGAGAATGTTATTTTTTTTTACAAAACTATTTTATTGAAGTAATTAAATTTAATTAATGAATAAATAGTAGCAAACAAAAAAAATAATCCAACACCCTTTATAGAAAGGAAAATGAAAAATTGCAAGGAAAATCACTTTTTATTTTGCCACTTAATTTTGTGACTGTCATATGTATATACATATTTATATATATTGTAATTATTTAATAAAAAGTAACTAAAATAAAATTTTTCTTTGTTGACCTAAGTAGGAATTAAGTGAAAAAAAATTTTATATTACTTGTTTACAATGAAACTTAATAAAATATACGTATCAATGCTTTTATGTTTTGAAGTCATATATTTGAGGTATTATCTCAGGATTTTGAAAGAATAGTATACTTCTAGAACTACGACTCTAAGTCCATAAGAGAGAATGTCATTTTTTTTTAAATAAACAATATTTCGATGTGCGTAAAAGTCTAAATTTTTTTTTATATCGATCTCTCGTTTTTTTATTTTTAAAGCTATCATTTTTATACCGGCGTATAACACGCACCCATAAATTGCAATCTTATTTCTTGAGTTAAAAGTGCGCGTTATACGCCGGAATTTACGGTAGTTCTTTTTGTAGAGAGTTTGAGAGTTACAAATTTAACTAAATGTGGTAAATTCATAGTTGGGATCAATGAGAGATCTCAACAAAAAAAATTATTTATGAAAAGACGACAAATATTATTAACACAAATTAAGGAGAAAGAAAATAGATGGTTTTTTATAACGATCACTTTCTTTCCTCACCTGACCTGTACTAAAAGTCAGTGTTCAGTAGAGCCTATTTATGCTGTTTGTAACAGTCAGTTACAGTTACTATGACAAGAGCTATTATAATTTAAATTCGATTTAAATAGTATCTTGTCTCTCTTCTTATTTAATTACATAATTCCTTTTTTTTTTTTTTTCATGCTTAATTTGCTATTAATAGCTGTCATGATGAGATATAAACTCCTTCTTTCCGAATAAAAATTCTGCAGCCCATACTTCATTTTTACGTTTGTCTGTAAGACAACTACATATTAATGTTATGTAATGTTGGAAATAACCAAAGAATTTTTTAGAAGTGTATATTTTTTCATATATCATTGCTAGAGAAAGTTATTCATTTCAAATTTGACTGAAATTTACATTCATCACACACACACGTATATTACACATATAATCCACTGCCAAAAAATGGCGACCATATGTAGTGAATTTTTTAAAGTATTGCTTTCTTAAGACATTTGGCTTTTATTTCTTTCAACTGCGATGAAATTTTAACTTCGAGGTATATACATTTCTTTTACTAAAGTTTAAGAGATCTTGCACACCCAAACTATGAATAAACTTTTTTAAAAATTCGTCTTAAGCCTCTTTAACTGACCTAATAACTGACCTTCCTATCCTAATTCAACGTGTTTTGGTATGTTTATATTACTCAAAATGAGGCCGCGCCTTGAACTGTCTGTACATTGGAATCGATCCAAATGATTTTACTCCATCGTTTATACAAAAACAAACAATTTTCACATCACTAGGCGTGCTACTACGTAAACACCGAGACAGTAAACCCCTAAAAACCGTGCTTTTAAAATATCCTTCTTTTTATTTTAACGAGATCGTTAGGTTCTAAAAATTTCTCGATGTTTCCGTGTGTACCCTAAAGAGATGACGGCCCGTGTTGAAAACCTGGATGTGGTCGTCTCGACAGCTGTCGGATATTTTAGAGATGGACGTCTTTTACATTTTGTTATTCTTAATTGACCGAAGAAACTTTCTTTTTTCAGAACAGAAATATTTGTAGTATGTAGAAAAACGGTTGTTTTTTTCTTAAACTGGTAATTATAGGATATTCAGATTTTCAGATTAAAATAAGAATATGTCTAGAATAAGGTATATAAGCTACAGTGCTTACCGTAAAATTCAGTATATGAAGGGTATTTTTTTCTCCGAAATTTCCAATATATTAGAAAATGATATGTCGACAAAAAAAAATCATTCCATGAAAAAATACTCGTTCAAGTAAATAATTAAAAGCGTAATTAGCGTAATTTTGTTTGAATTAATAAAATGTTTCATACATTTACATTGTTATTTTTTCTTAAATTTTACGTCCTCCTTTTCACTGTAAAAAAACTGGTCACCTTACTATTTAGAGCAGTGGTCAGCTAAGTGAGGTACGTAGTGTGATATGTTGTACACGAAAGAAATAGGGTTATTATATAACCTCTGACAACAAAGTTCGGTGAATGAAGTCAGAACGGCCGATCCGGCAACACTGGCAAAAAAAAAACGCTGCACATGTGCAGTGGCAGGTGTTAACCATCTGTCCCCACCGTTGATCAGGTGAGACTCATTTGTGTTCCTTGTAAGACTTGTTTTATAAAGCGCTTGTTTAGTACGTTGGTACTTAACCGAGAACAGAAAAATGAACGAACAAAATTCAATTAAAAGTTTTTTTTTAAGCTTGGCAAGACACCAAAAGAAACTTATGCGATACCGCTTCGTATTTATGAAGATCAAGCACTGTCCGTGAAGCGCGTGTACGAGGGGTTCGCCCGTTTTCGAAAAGTAGGAAAGTGTTTCTGACAACCCCCGTAGCGGAAGACTAGCGACCTCCGTCAGTGACGAAAACATTAAAAAAGTAAGGAAATGAATCACTAAAATATCGTCAATTAGCTGTGCGCATGCTAGCTGACGAACTGCAGATTAACCGTGAATCCGTGCAGCAAATCGTTACCTAGAATTTAGGGATGAGAAAAACATGTTATCGATATTGACGATATTCCTATCATCCAAAGAAACCTAATGAGGCTTTTGAACTCCACCCCAAAAGAAGACTTCTTGCAAAGTTTTTAGGACATGAATAGCAGATCTCAGGGGTACATAGTTATGGGAAGTGACTATTTCGAGGACAGTAAGGTAACTTTTGTTAATATTTCACAGATGTTTATGTTACAGGACAATTCACCGAACCTAAATTGCAGAGGTTGTACATATGTATGTGTAAAAATTTCACTTAATATTAATTTAAATTCTAATTTCGTATTTTTTTTTCTTTAAATCTTAATCACGAATGCCATTTTATCAAGCACCAGTTCCGTTTCATTTCTCGCGTTTAAAGGATTAAACCCTATGTCTTGACTGATTTATTTCCCATTCCTAGGAAATTAATATCTTAATAACTTACGTGTGCATTATTTAAACGACTGTCTGACAGTAACACCCCCGTAACCATCGCATCGTGGAAGGAGGGGGCAGGATTCTACGGGGAACAATGCTTAAGGTTTTGCAATCTTTTGACAGATCCGGTTAGGGGCCCAAAACCTGACTTCGAGAGCAACAGTCAATCTCTTAGCCGATTTCCTTTTGAATGACAATCGGTTTCATTACTGACTCAATTCAGGAAAGGATTACACGATACCTACTGGAGTGGACGCGGTAGTCCAAAGTTCATGACCGCAGACTCGTGTTTGACGGCGCTATTTCAGTCGAGTCATCACGCCCGTTTAAGACCCGTCGTGTAGATAGGGTTGCCAGATGTCCGGTTTTCGACCGGACAGTCCAGTTTTCTTCATGTTAGTCCGGTCAAGAGAATCTGGGTAAACCGGACAAAAGAATGTCTGGTTTTAAATACATTCTGCGTAATATCTGGTGCTTTGGGCAGACAACCAACACAACGAGTAGGATTGTAGGTACCTAGGTGTATATCTACATGGTTTGGACACGCGTGTGCATGTGGATAGTATTGCGCAACCAGAGCCACTTTCTGTTCGGACTCTCGACCTTCCTCTTCCGCTCTTTTCCTCCAAGCTCCGACGGGGGAGGGGGAAGGGGCTAGTAGCGGGGAATCGCTGTCAGTCCATAATTGTTCTTGTTGTGGGTATATTCGATTCCTATTATTTGTGTCGCTGTCGTGTATGTGTGTGCCAAAATGGAAGACAAGGAAGCATCTAACAGCAAGGGAACTCCAACTAAGAAAGCAAGAAGAGTTTGTCATTATAATGTTGATTGGGAATCGCGTTTTGTTTGGTTAAATAAATGCGATGAAGACAACACAAAAGGCTATTGCAAATTGTGAAAAAATTCGTTCACTGTAGCTTATGACGGCTTAAAAGCAGTTACCCACCACGCTGAGGCAAAGAAGCACAAAGAGTGTGAAAGTGCTGCAGCCATGTCTCACCGAATGAAGTCTTTCTTTACACCAAAAGGCAGCGCCCAAAGTGAAAAAGTTGGTATTGCCGAATTAACTGAGGTTTACCATAGTATCAAGCACCACATTTTTTATGTTGCTCAAGATTGCTCCTTGAAAGTATTAAAACAAGTGATAAACGATTCAGATATCGTAAAGCAAATGACAGGAGGACGTACTAAATATACAGCTTTGGTAAACCAAGTTTTGTTTCCGTATTCAATGGAACTTGTGCAGGAAGACTTAAAGAATGATGTTCCCTTTTCGGTAGCGACTGATGCATCAAATAAAGGTAATAGAAAATTTTTTCCAGTTGCTATTCAATATTTCTCACCAAAAAGTGGCATCTGCCATGAAATATTGGATTTTTACGAAGACTCATTTGAAGATTCAACATCTATTAAGGAACGTTTATGTGAAGTCATGGATAAATCACGACTCCCATGGAGCAGAGTAACAGCATATGGAGCGGACAACGCGTTTGTTAATTTTGGAGTCAATAATTCCGTTTTTCAAAAATTGAAGTCTGAAGAAAACAACGACATAATTGCTGCTCACTGTAATGACCACATATTTCATAACTGCGCTAAAAATGCATTAAAAGTGATTCCTGTTGATGTCGAAAATATAGTGATGAAAGTATTTGCAGAGTTCTCTCTTGTTCCGCTAAGAAACGAGAAGATTTGAAGGAGTGCTTTGATTTTTTCGAAAGCGAATACAGAGAAGTCATTCGTCACGTTCCTACAAGGTGGCTTAGTTTATTTAAAACTCTTCATAGAAC